GGAAAGGTTGACATGCCTACCAAAACACTTAAATGCAGTACCTACTTTTAATACGGTATGCAGCTGTTCATGGAGTTAACTCAATCAAATTCCAACAGCCAATCAGCAAGAAGACTAGAGGAAAGCTGCATACCTATTGGTTCTTGCTCTGCATGCCAGACTGATGACTCATGGATAGTCACCCCCAACTATATCATAAGTTGTGACCTAGAAACGGTCAAAAAGTCCAATATTATACAGGCTTAATGGTGAGTATGCCAAAAATTACAATTAATTGTTGGTGGTAGATATATAAAGCATATCCACACCAAATTTCAGATGATTTGAGTGTAATACCAGGTCTCCAGGACTAAAAATGTACAGATTTTGTCAAAAAAGCCCTATTTTACACAATTTTTAAGTACTGTATGTCAAAAGCGTGAATTGTATTCTTTGAACATGTGTCTAATGTATTCCCATGCCGAATTTAAGGTCATTCGGATTGAATATTAGGTCACAGGAGCAAAAAATGTACATTTTTTGCCCGAAAATAGCCAAAAAGCCATATTTTTCACAATTTTAAAGTTGTGTATGTCAAACGCTTGAATGAGTTTTTGTAGAAATATGTCCAGGGTATCCTCATACCAAATTTCAGGTCATTTGGTTTTATTACCAGGGCTCCAGATCCAAAATGTATATTTTTGCCTGAAAATCCCCCCCCCCCAAAAAAAACAAACAAACAAATAAAACAATTTAAAAAAAAAGAAAAAAAAACGCCTGGGGGTATTTGGCTATTCTACCTTCATGCCGAATTTCATGTCATTTGGCCCCAAAATGAAGAAATTGATTCCATTTAACGAAATGGCATCAAAAGAAGAAGAAACATGAAGAAAACAATATGACTACACCACTATCCCTAAAAAACATCGACATTATATATACACCAAGAACATCCATCAACTATAACGAAAATACACGTAATCTCTCACTAAATTAGAAAAAAACGTCGCCAAGGCGTTTTTAACGCCAATTTTTATTCAATCTGCATCGAGTGTCGTCTACATATCGGTTTGGCTGGGGCTAGACTGTCATTGAAAGTTCTGAGGGCTTTGTTTTCAAACTTTTCTATGTACATACAACAGTGGGTAAAACTGATGATCCCATAGCACAGCCGTGCATTTGTTTGTTAATCTCTCTTTTGTAGGTAAAGTATGTGCATCCTAGGCAGAGTTATAGTAGTCCACATACTTATTCAACAGATAGGTTGGTTTTATCTAGAAGGGTATCGTCGGTTCCAAAGCTTTCTTCACTACTGACACTGCTTCCTTAGGTGGTATGGAGGTGAAAAGTGAGCACACGTCATATGATGCGATGATTTCATCATTCTCTACATGAATGTCTTTGATTTTTTTGACAAAATATGCACTATTCTGTACCTGATGCTGAGATCTCCCCATTAGTGGTCTTAAAATCTTGGCTAGAAAAACTGCTAACTAATAGGTTACAGAAATAATACTGGAGATTATGGGTGGTGGAAGGACACCCTGTTTGTGGAAGTTTTCGAAATTAATTATTTAGATACAGCCTGAAGACACAATGAAAGTGGACTCAATGTATTTTTATAGACGTTTTATGTTAAAAATACAGCTTACTAACTTTTAGTTTGATGGGATACATGAAATGTAACGCGGCAGAAGGTAACGCGTCGGTCAGTCTAGTTAGGCCAGTCGAGGGCCAGAGTTAGAGGGGGAGGGGGGGGGGCGTTTTACCGAAGGAACAATGGCAAAATTTCTATCCAAGACATTCTCCTTACCTGGACAGGGCTATTTTGGCATGCGTGGATGGTCAATCTTGGACTTTCTTGAATCTTGAAATTTTTATGACAATACGGCCTACATATACAATGATAATAAACTAGAGACATTCATCTTATTAACGTTTTATGTCCAAAATATGCGAAGCTGTGATAAAATGTTAAGAAAATATATATATATACTCCTGATATAACAATATGGTCCGAAACATTAGATCTAAAATCGATGACGATCAAGTAAGAATAAATTTTCTTATAAATAAGATAACGACATTACATTAACCGTTTCAGTGTTAGAAAGCATATCTAAGGTATCATGAAATATAAAAAAAGTTTATTATTTAAACAGAAAGTTCTGATCTGATTACGAAAAATTATTAACTCAACCTACCACTATGAAAGTGTTGTCAGGTACATTTTAGGAAAAGTCACCAGTTTTTGTGCGGGCAATTTTACATGACCACCCCTAGTCTGCCAGTTTCAATAGAGTTAAACTGTTAAGAAATATACAGCCCTTATACCTAGGTAAGAAACAATAAATGGCATTAAATAAGAACTGTTTAAATCCAGATGTAGTGGGGGTGATAAATAAGCAAAAAATGGAAATTTTAAAATCTGATCACGCCCACTTCAGGGGTGATGCACTGGGTCATTTGAGAAACATTTGGCTTAAAAATTCAGTCATAACATTAAATAAACCCCCCACCCCACCCAAAAAACGAAATCTGCATTATATGCCATATAGTGCATACATATGAATGCCAGCGCCAAATTTCATCGTGTATAATTCCTTATAATATTTTATAATTTAATCTAGGACCACAAAACTGGGAGGCTTTTTATAAAAGTCTGTTGACAACGATTTCCTTATAGTTATAAATGTTAATGATGTTTTATGTTACCATGGCAACGGTTTGTTTACAGGTATGTTTGGTAAGATTTACTGATTTCTTATCATTATAGATGTAGTTTTTAGTTGTTAATGATAACGTGCAATCTTTTGTTGCATTTTACAATATATTACATGAGTTATTATTAATCTCATCAACTAAATTAACTAAAATTAATAAATCTATGCTAATGGAAAGGTCAAAGTTCAAAATCCAAGAAGTCAGACAATATGGCAGCACATCAAGAAACTTTTGTATAATCATTTTATGACTGTATGTGGGGGTACGGACGGGACACAATTGGTCAAAAGACTGATACTGCAGGGACTTGTCCAAACCTTTTATTCACTAATACCAGTGATATGAAGCATTTACAATCTCATAATAATGTCTAGGCTCAGAAAAAAGAGCTGGACATTCTAATTAAAATGTTTTGTACATTACAACATGAACAGTTCTACCTTTCTGGCTTTATAGAGTATTGTCCTTAAATTAGGGCTAAATTAGAGATAATTAAGGGCTTTACAGAGTATTTTCCTTAAAAAATCAGTTACTGGCAGGTATTAAAGGATTGTAAATTACTAATATTGCCAAAAAGACTTTGGGAACATTGCTAAAAGAAAAGAATGGGGGAGGGGGGCACTGCAGGATTTGTAGTCCAATGTAAGAGTTATATATATAATTGGCAACCTTCCTCCCCCGAAGCCATTCTAATTTCTAGCACAGGTACAAAATGTACATAAACGGGTTTTCTTTTGCACCTTGGCTTATTATATCTCAGAGAAATAAGAGAACCAGAACAGTTGGTGAGACTGGAGTAGACAATGTCCACACGAGCTTCCTTCAGATGAAAGCAAATGTTGATGAATTCATTAAAAACTACTAATTTTAGTAAAGAGGACAAAGGTTTGTATCTTTTAAGGCTTTAGTATGTGTATTTTTAGCAATTGGAATGCCATATTCATTTTCCGCAGTATTTGGCTAAAATCTAAAAGTGGAGGTTTGGAGAGGTTGGTGATACGTATGGGACGGGTACGGACGGGACATTTGGGGTTTTATTACGCTATAGCAGGCAAAGTTTTTATCACAGAAATGGTTTATATGGTGGTTTGGTATATGCCAATAGAGACTTATAAGCCATCACAATTAGAAATATATAGTTTTACTTAGTGAAGAAATCAAGAGGGGGCACTTTTATACAGGACAGAAGTTTTCGGAAAATGGCAGCCCAAATTCTAATTCGTAGCTATCAGTCAGATGAAAGGAGGAATGATCTTATTCTACTTTTAATTTGTTCTCTTACATACATCATATCAAACCTTTACATGTCAAACTAATACTTATAACAGCACAATTAAATAATGCTACAGACTTTGAAATCTTAAAGTAAATGTTACATTAACATTGGTAACATTAGCATAAAATTTAAAAAAATAACCCCTCTTGCCCAAAAAGTTGGTCTCTCTTCAAAGATTGGTAATAAATGTCTTAAGTTAACATATGGCTGCTTGTACAAAACAAGAAATTTTAAGGTAGCAACAATGTTTGTGATCTCTGCTGCAATGACGGCTGGTAACATGAAAAATAGGGCATTTTTAAGTAACATTTTTGTCGATAGTTTTGCCATATATTGACGGATCTCTCTTCTTTTCTTTTTTGTGTTCCTTGTCACACCAGCTTTTGGAAAATAAAAGCCCACAACAGTAATATGTTATGTAGACTTTCTAATCACCTGGTAACATGTGGAAAAAGAAATGGGTGAAATAGCCGAAAACATACCTGTGAATAAGCAGTTGCCATGGCAACATAATATACTATGGGCTCACCAATCTACGTGTTAACAAGAATATGGTTGAAAACGTCACCAAGTTCGGTGGTTTTAGCGTGAGTCATTCAGAAGTTATCTGACCTCAAAGTTGGCTCGGGCCTGCAAAGCCCCCCCCCCCTCGTCTAAATAGGGTTATTTTTCAATTGCAAGGGGTGGGGGGTTTACTTCGAGATACAACTGTACTCTTTGCACCAGAGGTCTTGTATTGATTGTGTTAATCATTTCCCAAATGGGCGTTTGACAATTTTGAACTTGCACTTTATCACCCCACCCCCCACCCCCACTACCAGATGCATTTAGGTAAGTTGCCTTCGCTCATTTAGAAAACATGGCCGCTGGGATCTCGGTGCGAATGAACAAATGCACATTTTTTAAAAAGTCAGCCAAGAAGTGTGTTTGGGAGGAATGTGGTGCTTATAATTACTCTTTCTGCTTTTCTCAAGTGTTTTATTGCCCTTCTAATAGAAATTCTGTCTACTTCACAGGGTGTTCGCCATGAATTTGAAAGGCCTGCTACTAATTGTAGCAGCGTACTGTTTTGGGATTATAACGATGGGTACATTCACGATTTTCACAAAAAATCGAGAAAAAAGTCCCGTAATGTCGGCAAAACAGGCAAAAAAAGACGCTATGACGACTGCTGACATTCCCTTTACTCCAAGGGATGGATTCCAGAAGTAAGTGCCTGTTTTTATAGTCGTAAAAGTTATTCCGCTGTTAAAATTCAAAGCGTATATATTTCTCAGACTTGTCTTTTTTTAGTTGTACAATTGACCAGTCGTGTCCTAGTTTTCAGCTAAAGAAAAATTATCATAATACAATATAAATGGTATTTCCTCTTTATTTGCAAATCATATCTCAAAGGGGCGAAGGCTCAAAGAGGTAATAATCAAATTGTTGTTTTTTTCAGTACAAACAGGATGAGATGCAACTGTTCTGTTGAGGGTGACAAGATACTAAAGGTTATGGAGACTGAAGAACCAAAGGAAACTGAAGGTCGACGTAAAGTAGAACTGCGAAAATTTAAACGCAGGTGGAAGGCATCTCATTTTAAATTTGTACGCTTAAAATAATGGGCATTTCTAAGCTGAAAAAAAACAAACAATAATTTTAAAAAATTGATTTACACCCTACCTAGACATGGGGGGGAGTGCCCTCGCCAACTTTAATGTCGGAAAGCGTCCGAACGGCTTGTGTTTAGTGACTTTTCCTATAATATTGTTGACAATAATTCATAGCAGTGCAGTGAATAATTTCCCGTGTCTCCATGGCAACGGATTTCTGACATGAATTTTTTTCAAAAATTGGTAATTTTAGTTTAACAATTTAAAATTTTTCTAGGTTCTAGGTTTAGTTGCACTTTCTTTTCAATATTAATAACTTTTACGATTAAGTATAATTTTAATCATTAATGCATGCTAATTTGATGACGTAATCGGTAAATATCAAAGATGACGAACCATATAATTAACTCTTGTGTAATCATGGTTTCACATAAAACGTTAATATGGACATCTTTATTTTTTTTGCATTGCGTTTAGAGGCTGTATCTTGAAAAAATGAAATTTTCAAAATTCAAGATTTCTAAACCTAAATGGCCAACAGCTTAATCATGTATGACATTATTTTATGACGTCATTTTGACGCTAGTGTCGTTATATAAATGGTTTATTTGCAAATTGACATAAAACTAAAACAACATTGCAGCCTAATAATACAATGGATTGTACAAAAGGCTGAATTACGTAGTTTTAGGGAACACACAAAATATCATTAATATTTACAAACATAATCAAACTAAATAACAAGAATATTTACAATAGGTAGCGGATAATTACACGGTAGAGGAAGAACTGTTTTAAGAGTTTAGACATGTATGGAATAGCACTGTTCCAGTACCTTTCAGATTTAATAGATGGTAGGCTAAGCTGGAACCCCCTTTTAAAAGCCTATTATGTACTTCATTGCGGTTGGGGGTAGCCAGGATCTAAACGTTGGTGAATTCAACAGAGATTTTGCAAACTTAAGGCGCAATGATTCTCTTCTGGCTTTTAGAATGCAGAGGTTAAAAGTAGAGAGTGCATCCGTATATGAAGTGTACTTATTTCCAAGAATAATTCTAAGGGCACGTTTCTGAAAGTTGGTGGGACTTATTTCATACAAATAATTTTTCACATATTATTACATTTTAGAACCAAGTCTTCTAAAGAGACCCTAATGATCGTGGACGGATCCGTTCCTCTCAGTTATCCTGTACAAGGAGTGGTCGTTGCACCAGAAGAATGGGAAGACATCCCAGGTATAACAAATATCAGTTTTAACAGATGTTTAAACATTGGTAACTTGATATGTCGGTGAAGGTAACTGAAGTATCGGATTTGATTTTTGAAACGATCAGACATGTCAGGTAGCATCCACTACGTTTCGTGAGTGACACTGGAGATTTTTTAGCAAAGTAGATTTATAATTACGCTCAATAGAGTTAAGACCATTGCCCCCCCTCCCTGAGTCTCTCTGCCTCATTAACTGACAGCCCAACTTTCAAGTTTAATGTACACTTATTACTCCGTGAAGGAGGTCAGGACCTCCGGACGGAGTGTTGTGATCGGCTGATATTTCGTGTTCGCAGTCAAAACACTGGGTTCTCTTTGTGTAATCGGCACGCAATTTTATACGCCGTCTGCGGGCATGCCCGTGTTGATGCACGAATGTGTATTTTTGCCGTTGCTGCTTTCGCGGTCAATGTAATATTGCAGACGCACCCCTACAATTACGTGGCGAATTGGAATGGTCCAGAAAAACGCGTTGTTTGGAATAGCAGTGGGGGGTGGAACTTCATGCAGGTACGGGGTGGTTTTGATAAGTGGTTCCAGATGTTTTTGCCCATGGTTAAGAGATGCCAAGTTTTTTGGAAGATGTTCGCAGCCAAAACGCATTCTTCCGTACGTCGCATTTTTGTGTAATTTCGCATGTGGTGTGGCATTATGTTCGGGATGATGCACGTCTTTTTATTTTTACCGTAGCTGTTTTGATATTGGAGTAAATGGTTATTTTCGAAACATCCCCATGTCGTTGAAATGTTGTCGTCCGTTTATGTCACCGGTAGTAAGTCGCGGCGGGGCTGATGGGGACGGAAATGTGGGGTGGTCAGAGGTCAACATTAGGAAATGTTAATACCGATGACGTAATCCTATCGATTTCAAACTGGTCGGGTGTGGCGACCTAGTGGCGGCGTGTATTTAGTCACGTAGCAACTGGCCGGTCGTCCTAGCAACGACACATGGCCAATATTTTTGGGTTGGGCCGCTCCATAGTGTTAGTGGAGCAGCTCTTTGTAAACATGGACAATATTTTTGAGCAACCCATCAATGTGTTCTGCCTCGTAATCGGATGTGGTCTGGGGCTGGTAAACCGCACATACAGTACTAGTAGATCGGGTAATTTTATGATTTGCTAGTTGTAAAGGCGTCGTGTAGTATGAGCCGGTATATGAAGAAGTAGCCTGTGTTACACAATCATGCTTTCGGCCGGATTGATGTGCAACTGTTACTAATTGCAGGGACTGCGCTAATGCCGACCAGTCGCGCTGTCCTGATACACCGCGAATGTGCGAGTGTTCCCTGTAGACAGTCCCGGGAGTCATTTTTTTCGCACATTCCAGGAGCCAAACCAAAATACGTTCATGAACCGAGTCCAAAACCGAAACGTGAAAATCGGATGATCGGACCTGATGTACATTTCTCTTTCTGTAGATTGTACACACAATACACACATCTTTAG